GAAAATGAAATTAGATGTCCCACCCCGTTTCACAAATGTGTCCCCAGAATTTAAACTTTTATAGCAACATGAATGCCAGATTTTGTTTTCCATAAAGAACAGCTTAAATTAAAATATTGGGGAAAATACATTAATTGTCTTGAAAGCAAAATTACTATGTAAGGAGATTTAGCCCCAGAGGAGTGGGCTTTAATGAGTGAAAAATAATTCTAATTTATTCATTTCATCACATTCTTCCCTTTTTAGAGAGTTACAAAGTGAACCATTGTAAGACAGCAGCTCTTGGAGGATTTCTTAAAAGGCTGGGTTTTTTTTAAACAATATATGAACTTTTATCATTAATTTAAATCATTTGCCCCTTGGAATATAGTAAAGAAATCTTTCAGTGACATGTAATTTGATATTACAGTTGAGAGCTTCCTGATTTTTTAAAGGCATTCATTTCAAATATCTTGAAATGCTAAATGAAGATGATAATATCTACTGCTTTTACCAGTGTTGTTCCAAATAAATTCAAAAATTAATTTGCCCTCCCTAGCCAATTATTGTGGAGAGTTGGATATAAACCAGTAAGTTGCAACTTTACCTATGTGTCAGTACTGCCATTCTTAGGACAAAGTTGTGTTAAAAATACTCAAAAAAATATTGCCTAAAACTTAGAAAATAAGATTTGTGAAGGTATTTTGTTCCGCTTATCTGTTAGTGTTAGGCCCTAAGATTCTTAGTCTCTTTTTTAGTTAAACAAAATAGTTTGGGAAACATATTTCTGCTTATTCATTACTTCTCAGAAATGTTTTTTCCCCCAAGATTGTATACAGACAATGCTGTCATTGCGCTAGAAATTCCTTATTTAAGATCAGTAAATATGTATTGCTATGTACATTTTACTCCCTCTTTTTAATTTCTTAATCTTTCTACTCCATTGTCTAGTTGTTTTCTTATTCTGCATAAACACTGGTTTCAGCTAATACTTTATCAAGTCCATTGATGTGAATATAAAGTTGATATAAATAATTATTGCTCATTTTACTCTGGGCTCTATATAATGTCTCATAAACTTTTTTTTCAAGTGTTCTAAGGGGTTTTGATTACAGAGAAAGGAAATGAATGCAGATGACCTAATTCTGCATCATACAAAGCCCAAGACTCCTTTCCTTTCCCACAAAGCAGTAATGTGAAATTCTTGACATAAAGGCCCTTTCCTTGAAAGAGATAACTGACAGAAGTGTGATAAACCCCCTGTCTCCCTGTTATCAAGGGGTGCCTTAAAATTGTTGTTCTTCTATAGTCACCCTTCACCAGCCTCTTTGACTTAAACAGTAGGGTAGCTCACTTTGTAATAATTCATTTATGCTAGAGACTTCCTGGATTAGCACAAGCCCATCTCCCTTCCAGCTTCAAATACCTCAAAATACTACTGAAATAAAATCTCTTACCCCAGGGCCTTTATTAAGTTAAATACAGATTCAATTAAGTTGACTTTTGTTTTATTGTTTAGTCATTTTTCGGTCATGTCTAACACTTCATGATCCCATTTGGGGTTTTCTTGGCAAAGATACTGGAGTGGTTTTGCCATTTCCTTCTCTAACTCATTTTACAGATGAGGAAACTGAGGCAAAAAAAGATTAAATGATTTGCATAGGTTCACACAGCTAGGAGTGTCTGACACTGGATTTGAACTCAGGAAGATGAGTCTTCCTGACTCCAGAACCAGGACTCTATCCACTTCATCACCTTTTGTTACCACTAACTTTAGTAAAATAGTAATACGCTTTTAATAAAATTCCTTTAAAGGAGGTAACAGTCCTCCTTGAGAGCAGGTTATTGGTCTTTCTTTCTTTCCTTTTTTTTTCTTTCTTCTTTTCTCTCTTCCTTTATTTTTAGAAATCTTGAGCCGAAATTTAGAGATCAATATAATGCATACAATATAAGTATGCAAGTCACTAAGAACCCAGGACCTTTCACTTCAAAATTATCAACAAAGATCCAGTTGAAATTGGCCAGAAATAGGTGGTTTGATGGCTTGTGGTTGCTATGGTAGTGTATATGGAAACTCTGATGAAGTTTTTCCATGGAAAAAAAAAACATCATTTAATATATGGACAAAATAGCAAAGGAAGCAGTATAATTCCCACAGTTGCTGAACAGTGGCACCTAATAGAAGAATTCCTGGAACACTTGTCAAAAACTTGTACTTCTTCTGTTGCCTCTGGGCCTCAGTTTCCTTATCTATAAAATGAAAGGTTGGGCCAAATGGCCTCTAAGATGCCCTTCAGTTCTAAATCTATGATCTAAAATCCAGTATCTAAATCTGTGTTCCAACCAGGAACAAACCCTGAGCCCACCTCAGATTTTCATTAGTCTCTGAAGTTGATTTTTAGCTATTAGTTACACTTATTAGTACCGCTCATTCCTGCCTACTGTTCCTCAGTAGCCTAACAATCATAGCTAAACAGAATCCTGTTATAAACACATTCCTGTAAAAAGACACTAGAAAGATAAAGAGATTTTATTACATTTTACTTAAACCCGTTTGAGGCATCGAGGTAACAAAGTGGATTGAGTGCCAGGCTTGGAGTCAGGAAAGCTCAGCTTCCTAAATTCAAATCTGACCTCAGAGACTTAGTAGCTGTGTGACCCTGAGAAAGTCACTTAACCCTGTCGACCTTAGTTCCCTCATCTTTAAAATGATCTGGAGAACGAAATGGCAAACACTCCAGTATCTTTGCCAAGAAAATGGGGTGATAGAGTCATGAAGTGTCAGACATGACTGAAACAACTGAACAACAATGCCCATTTGATTGCCTTTGGACCTTGGACTTTTTAGTACCATTTCATTTCAATGAGACTTGGAAGGAGCACTGGATTTGGGGTCAGGAGACCTGAGTTCTAATCCTAGCTCACTTGCTTACTCTATAGTACCATAGACAAAGCCTCCGTTTTCTCATCCAAATAAAATAAAAGGATTGAACTAGATTGTCTCTAAACTCTTTTCAACCTTTAAATCTATCATCTTATTATTGTCATTTTGCTACAATTCATAATTCAATTGTGGCTTTCTTGGGACAGGTATTACAAGTTGCTGAATTAAATTACTCCTGCCTCAATTTCCATGTATTTTTAAAAATTAATTCCTTGTTTTATAGGATTATAGGATCATTGATTTACAGCTGGAAGGGACCCCAGAAACCACTGGGTCTAATTCCCTCATTGTACACATTAGTAAATTGGGGCATAGAGAATTTATATGACTTACCCAGGGTGACACAGCAACTTACTCCAGTGAGAGGCAGGATTCAAACCCAGGTCTTCCTGCTGTGTAGTCTAGCACTCTATCAATTATACAGCACTGCCCCTCATTTCAAATTCTCAGGGAAATTGCTTTGATTTGCAATATAGGTCATATCAACATTTATTCTCACTACTTCTCAGCTTGATAAACTCATATCTGACACCACCGGAAGAATTTCAAACATAAGATTGTAGTTTCAAATGCAGCTTTTCTAACATAGTACATTCATATTTTCATAAAGTGATTTAAACATTTACCCCATAAATGAATTGTTAACTAGTGGTTCTGTGAACTATATAGCTCTTTTCAGGGATAACGTGGCAGGCCTTGGACATCAACCTGTTTTGGTGAAGTGGGGTGATCTTTCCTTATATAAATGCCATAACTAAAGTGGCATTTTGTTGTAAGTTCATGAACTGAGTCATCTTTTCTTGCAAACCTTTTATCCCTGTATCATCTACCTGTGGACCAAGTTTCTTGTGTCCATTAAAAATGGCATTTTTGCTGCCCACCATTTTGTTTTAAGATGACATTCTTTTTTTTAAGATGATATTCTTTAGTAATGGCAAATTTGGGTTCTAGTCAGTCAATTCCTTTGCAAATCATCATGGAAAAAGCAGAAATATATAAAGACACCAAAACTTTGTGAATTAAAATTTGAGACTTATCAAAATAAAAAGTATGTATCAATACAAATAAATAAATAGACCCATCTTTAGAATGGCTTTATTTTTTTACTCTCACATTTGAGAATCCTAGGGTGTTTTGACATTATATTCTTGTTGGTAACAGGAAAGCTAATGGCCTCCATAATTACTATGAAATAGCTGTAGCAGGAAATTTGTTCTAATTATAATAATATCTCTTCCCCTCTTTCAAGAGTCATTTTTAGTCATTTTTTTTAAAATATAGGAGTAGGGGATCAAAGTTAAGTGACTTGTATGAATGACTCTCACTTTGTCTCTTGTCTTTTTTTAACCAACTTTTTAAGCTTTTTCCTGATATAGAGCTTTGAAGCAACACTATGGGTGCTGCTTTCCCATTTGTAAAAGGAAGCATTAGGAAAATGCCTAGAACTCTAGAAAGGGAGAAAATAAAAAGATAAAAGCCCAAACTAGTAGGATTACAGAAGAATCACTTCCCCATCCTTATCAACCTACTGCAAATGACCCTCCATATTCTCTTGATCTATCTTAGTTTACACTCAAATTTTCCTCAAGTTTATTATCCCTAGAAGAAAATACTTTCTATAGCTTGAAGAATAATTTCTATATAGCATATCTAATGTTTACATTTACGATGTTGTGATTGGCAAATGACATTTTTTTTCCTGGGAGACTGAAGACACATTTGGCCTTCCAGACAATATAGCTATGCCTTTTATTGACTAATGTTCATAATATACATAAACCATTGGAATTCATATTTTCTTCTTAAGTCTGAAATCCATCATGGAGGAAAATATATGACGGTGAAATAAGCAGAACCAACAAACCCCGTGTTCTCGTCCCAATCTGACCCTTTCCAATTGCGTGTTTAATTCTCCAAAAAGACATCTCTCTCATATGCTGGCTATTGTCAGTGTTGTCATTGGAAAGTTAAGTTTGTAGCAAACCCAATTTGCTTTCAAGGATCTTATCTTTTGGTAAACCTGAAGTTGGCTCTCATCAATCCTGGTGTTTCTTGCTGTTATCTTCATTCCATTTCCTCAAAGGATGCTGACCTGTTGGATGTAGAAAGCAAACACTTCGAAGATCTAGAATTTCAGCAGCTGGAGCATGAGAGCCGGTTAGATGAAGAGAAAGAGAAGCTGACCCAACAACTCTTACGTGAAGTAGCTGAATATCAAAGGAGCATCGTCACTAGAAAGGTAATTCTACTGAATGCCTTTCAAAAATTAAAAAAAAAAGTTACCACAGAAAGCACAAATACCATAAACTTTATCAAACAAAAGCGATCATAATCTCATTGTTGCAAAGCACTTTATGTGTTTTAAAGTCCTATATGATTATTATTACTATTAATTATTAGTGATGGTTTTTACTAATATGTATGTACATACATATGTGTAGGGATAGTAGAAAATTCATAATAGCTTTGGGAGGATCATAGAATCACTATAATGATGAATAATTGCCTGAACCACATTGAGAAAATGTCATTGCCTTTATTATACTGAACCTTAAGTTCATCATTAATAAAAGGGGAAAGATTTTATTGTTTTTTTTCCCTTGTGAGAACCAAGATAGGTGGGGAATGTCACTTCTCTGGTCATTTGTCTTGACCTATTTCCCTTTGGAACCAAAATAGCCAATGTCCACAATAGCACACTGCAGATGGTTGAGTCTTGTTGAGAATGAGAGTGGGGGGAGGAGAATTTCCTCTGTTACTATTGCGTACTGTTGACTATCTTATCATTACAAATAGCTAGATGGGACTAGGGGCATCTAGGTGACACAGTGGATGGAATGTTTCCTGGAGCCAAGAAGACCTGAGTTCAAATCTTGCCTCAGACATTTTACTAGCTGTGTGACCATAGGCAAGTCACTTAAGCCTCCTTGCCTCAGTTCCTTCATCTGTAAAATGAATTGGAGAAGGAAATGGCAAATCACTCTAGTATCTTTGCCATGAAATCCCCAAATGGGGTCACAAAAAGTCAAACGACTGAAAAATGACACAACAACAACAAAAAGGATCTGTTGTCTATTGTTATCTGTTTTCTACTAGGAGAAAATTTCTGCATTAAAGAAGCAAGCCAGTCATATTGTCCAGCAAGCTCAAAGAGAACAAGATCATTTTGTGAAAGAGAAAAATAACTTAATATCAATGCTACAAAGAGTAAGTGGTATCTCTTGGCCATCTGAACATTGTCAGAAAAGTGTTCTCTTCGTTTTTAGTTTAGTTTTTTTTAATAACCTAAAATATTAATAATCAGTAGTTTGTTTATATTTTAATGTTTTAAAGATTAGGTATTTTGAAGTATTATAACACACATTAAACCCTCAAATTTGAAACATGCTTTCATATCTATAGATTTAGATACATAGATATATTTTAGTATAGCCTTTAGAAAGATAATGCTTTGCTTCCATCAAACATTCAGTGTAATCTGATCATAGCCCTGCCAAATATAGATTTTCTTTAATCTCATGAGGAATTACATAATTTGACTTAACCATAATTATATAATTTGACTTAACCATCTTCTCAGGTGAATGGTATGACTTGGGGATCTAGACCCTACACATTTATTCCATTACCTTGTTGGGATGCCTGAAATTCTCATTCACCATAGTCATTGCTTTGAATCAAGGAACTGTGAATACAGAAGTTATTGGATAAAAAGAGTAGTTCTTAGAGTCAGGAGAACTGGGTTTGAATCCCAGCTCTAGCATTTACTAGCTGTGCAACCAAAAGTCACTTAACCTCTTTTGGCATCAGTTTCCTCATCTGTAAAATGGGAACAATATTTGCATTAATTTTTTTAAAAATTAGATTTTATTGATGCCTTTTGTTTCTTCATCACCTGCATTTTCCCCTCCATTTCTCCTCACCCCTCCCAAATAAGCATCTTGTATGACAATGAATATTTTAAAGGAGGAAAATGAGAGAGAGAAAAAAAACCTCAGCAGGCCAGTCAATTAATTTAAAAAAGTCTGAGATTACATATGCAGTCTTGTACACCCAAGGACTACAATCCTCAGAAAGGAACAGAGGGAAATGTGTTCTCATACCTATTCTTAGGAAAAGCAGTCACTTTTTAAATCTTCAAGTACTATATAAATGTGCATTACTACCATTGCTCTTATTGTTATTTGGAAATGGTAATTGAGTAGTAGTCATATAATACTATATGCCATAGATTAATACAGGGTATCCCAAAATCTTAGTGCCATTTTAAGTTATTAAAGAATAGAAAGACTGGAAAACCTCATTGGTTGATTTTAATGTTCCTTAGAAGAAAACGGGGCTGAAGACCAGCATATAGAATCTATAAGATTTCTAAGGTATAGATTAATATTAAAGCTTTCATAGCTTAAAATGCACCAACATTTTTGGACACCCTTTATATAAGATAACTTAGCCAAACCAGAATCCTCAAGGAGGAGGTACATTATCTAGACATTTTCCTCTGGAGAGCAGGCCAGAGATAAAGGAAGAAGGAGGAATGGAGGAAGAGAATGCTGGGCTCCAAATACAGGAAAAAAGACTTCAAAACACAGAGTGAGGGAATGTTGCCACAGATGAGCTTGACTGACTTCACAATTTTGCCTTTGGTGGACTCTAAGCTTAAGAGGATCTTGTGATTTTACAGGAAAAGGAGAATCTTTGCAATCTGGAAAAGAAATATTCTATCCTTTCTGGAGGAAAGGGGTTTCCAGTCAATCCCAATAGTCTAAAAGAGGTAAGCAGAGTCCTGGGTTGCTTTGAACTTGGATTAATCTCGATTTTAAGTCTCTGGGAATTCTTTGTCCTTGTGTTCTGATAAAGACAGGATGTATGAAAAAGAAGTGGTATCAAAGTTTTCACGGTCTAGCTGTAGTCAACTCTTTCCTTATGTACTTTGGAATTTTCCAGTGATTATCTTTTATGTTAAATGGTAACTTCAAGGCACATGCTAAATGTACTTTAATATACAATGAAAAAACTTTGGTCCTCTCTGACTAATCAAATTTGATTTGACTTTAGGAATAGCACTAACTTAGAATTTCAGAAACAGCTCAGGGCAGAGCCAATATTGGTCTGTTTTTAGTGCTCAGATTCTGTCTCTTTTTCTTATTTGATTTTCTGGCTGAGTTTCAGAGAAGGGAAAGAAACACACTTAAAATGTCAGTTCCTTAAACAGTGTTTCTCTGATCTGATTTGAATGCTTCTTTCCCTGATTCCTTTCCACTTTCCACACTCATACCACCGCTCCTGTGTTTATTTTCTCTCTGTCTCTGTCTCTCTCTCTCTCTCTCTCTCTCTCTCTCTCTCTCTCTCTCTCTCTCTCTCTCTCTTTCTCTCAAAGCTCCTGTATAGATCAAGGTGAATATTCCCTTCTAATTCCCATATTCATGTTAATTTTTTATGCTTTCCCTCCCAATTTTTTTTGGTAGAGACTATACAAATTACATACCAACATTAAGTTTATTTTCCTACGACTCAAATGTTCAAAATTTATTTGGGAAAAAAAAAGTCCTGATTAGGGCAAATAGTGAATTCCCTGAAGTGGCTGCATAATTCAAATCCATACTACATATTTTTGGGGGGCTGGAGTCAATTACCAAATTTTTATAATTATAATTTTAATAGTGTGGATTTAAATACATGGGCATACTTCAAAGGGTTCGTTATTCATACTAATCAGGATCTACCTGTTTTTTAAGCATTAAAATCATCACTATAATATACATTGTATAGTTTGAAAATAATAATAATAATAATTTTAAAAGACTAAAAAAGTCTGTAAGCTTTAGTTGACATGTGAAGACCAGAAAACCTCTTGTTAATTTTAAAGTCACTTAGAAGAAAACAGGGACTGGCATATATAAGCTATAAGATTTCTATCATACAGATTAATATTATAGTTTTCATACATGCCAGTTAAAGTGTACATTACATTTAAACACAACCCATGTTTACAATGTTAGTAAGTAATGTTGCTGTTGAAGAATGCATTTCTCAAGGCAGACTTCCTATCTTATTCTACTTTATAATCTCTCTATTTATTTAGAAATCTTAATTAACACACTTGCTTTTTGCCTACATACCTGACAACTTCCTGGTTTCACTCTTTATTTTATTTTTCCTCTTATTCATTTATTAAATGCAAACCACATAGGACTTGAGGAAGCAACTCAAAGGTACTTTCTAAGAAGTTATTGTATTGCTTTTTTCCCATTGCTTTTTGATTCTTCTGATACCTCTTTGAAAGTGAACTTTAAAAGATTGTCTCATTTAAAGCCATTTTAAGCTGGTGAAGACTTAGAAAATAGGTTCCCAGTTAGGGAACTGTGAAATGGCTTCACCTGAGGTCCTTATGCTTGTTGTCAGTCCTTTTTGTCTCTGTTTCTTTTTTTATTTACTTATTTAGAATGTTATGTTTTACTTTGAGCAGTTGATTACATGGTTAGTAGTAAGGCAACTAAGCTTTTCATGTTTATTTGTTAAACCCAAATGCATGAAAGTACCTCCATGAATCAAATCCATTTATTTCTAGGAGAAATAGAATAAAATTCATTGTAACTATATTTAAAATATAACAACTATTCAAGCTGCTCATTGATTTAATTTCTTGCTGTTTTAGGTACAGTAAAATTCCATGATGATAAATCTGAGAGGGCTATTCTCTTGTCTTCTCTAAGTTCATTTTATTAAAATTTTACCGCTATAATTTTTAAGCATCGACTATGTTCAGGACACTGTACTAGATGATAGATAGCTAGGTGACCAGGGGATAGAGCATTGCATTTGGAGACAGAAAGATCGAAGGTCAAAAGCAAGTCACTTTGTCACTCTGAGCCTCAGCATCCACCTCACTGGTGAGACTCAACTGCAAGGTGCTTTGCAAACCTTAAAGTGCTGGGTAGATACTAATGCTCTTTTTTTTTTGGTGAGGCAATTGGGGTTAAGTGACTTGCCTAGGGTCACACAGCTAGTGTCAAGTGTCTGAGGCCAGATTTGAACTCAGGTCCTCCTGATTCCAGGGCTGGTGCTCTATCCACTGTGCCACCTACCTGCCCCCCAATGCTTATTTTTATCCTCATCATCATCATCATCATTGCTGTCATTGTTACACTGAGGAAACAAAAAGAAAAAGCAACACAGTCCTTTTTTCAAGATGTCAATGCTTTCACATTCAATAGATGTTTATTATTCACCTTCTTTGACCATGGCATTATTCTTGATAATAATAACTCAAAGATGAAATAACATCTTGGAGCTCTGAATACCATTACTAAATTTGCTAATCAGTTTTATTGGGGGAAAAAATTTCATCGTTAAGGCTACAATGAATTTAAAGATGACTCTTAAACTGGTCAAATATGCAGTTTGGAGCCTCTAGTTCTATTCTATTCTATCAGAGTAAAATGGAGATTACCCTGTGTTTTCAGTGAAGCATCAGCTGTGCTAGGACTTACCAAGGTAGAAAGACTTCTATTGTAGTTCTAGAACTGTGTCTGTCTTTCCAGTACCAGCCTACCTGAGGTCAGATGGAATCATTATCAGGAGGCTAACATCTGAAAGATGCATATTTTGGCCCCAGGAAGCTAATAAAACTCTTAATGAGATATGAAAAGGGTTGTCACTGATATCAGTATAATAAGCATCCCCAAGAATAAAGTCATGGGTGCTATGATTATAAGGTAATAAGTATAATTTGGAAAAAATGCTGGCTTTTGCTAATTTGGGGCCAGTGGACTTGAGCTTAAATACTGGCATGGTTACTGCTAACTATATGACATTGAACAAATTACCTAATCTTTCTGAGCCTCCATTTCTCCAATGAGGGGCTTGAACTGGAAGACTTCTAAGAATCATCCTAACTCTAGCTCTATGTATGACTATAATTTGGTATAACAATATAAACATCTCTTCATAGCAATTCAAGGTATATTCTTTTAAATTTGCAGTTGTTTGTCTTAGAATTTATTCAATTCATTATCCCAGTTGGTTTTCATGTTACTTATCTAACTAAATGGGAAATGGTCGGGAGTGCTGCCAGGAAGATTGCAAGAGCAATGATGCAGAAGGGGACAAGGCTATGGTTCTAGATTAGTGGTTTGGCTTTCAATCATTTCTTGCTAGGAACCAAGGGTAAAGGTCGGAGAAAGGAAGCTCTTACAGTGTGACTGCTCCTGCCTGTAAGCTCCTTGAGGTCAGGAACTGTCTTTTTGTTTGCATTTTTATCCCCAATACTTAAAGTACCTGGCACATAGTGAGCATTTAATAAATGCTGATTCCCTTCCTGCCTTCTCTCTCCTACTTAATTTCTGAAATGAAAAAAAAATTTAATATTCATCTAACTGTATCAAGTTAGGAGAGTGCTGTAGGTGTAAACTGTCTTGTTTCTTCTTCCTTTTTGTGGAATTCAATTTGGATTGTGATTATTCTCTCTCCAAAACTTTCTTATTTCTTCTTCAACCATATTCCTGCTTTGGAATGGTGAGGAAGGAGATTAGTTATTGGATTTTGATTTCAGGGAAAAGGAGAGATCCATTTGAGAAGTATACAGAAATTAAGAAAGATAGGAGGAAATTATAGATGAGAAGGTTTGACAAAGAGGGGTTAATATTGGCATATGAATAGCATTTTGCTCGGTGTGTGTTTTTTTTTTTAATTTGGGATATAATTCATCCATATCCACACTGTATTAAATTAAAAAAGCAGCATATCTTACAGGAACCTTACTGATCACACAGCAATTACGAGATTGAAGTCGAGTGTTTTGTTAAACATGAACATGTTATACAACCTAACAAGAAAAGTTGATTAAAAATTCACAGTGTAGTAAAAATATACTCAGGAAAATTTAGCACTATGGACAAATGCATGCAGAAGGTGAACAAAGGCAAACAAGTTATATACCTTTATTAACTATGGTGCCAAGTTACAGTAATATTTCTTTTCTCCATTATAGTAAATGCCTTTCATTAACAGTTGTAGATATTTGACACATATCTAAATATACAAGGGTAATTTTCACTGATCTGATACATACATACTTTAGTCTAAGTGGATTAACAATGAACTTTCTGTGACACTCTATGAAAATAAGCTGTCAACCCCATGCAAGTCTGCTTGGTGTGTTGTATAAAAATATGGCAGCCATCACTAAAATAGATGGCAGATTAAAGCAGTTTTAGTAACCATAAGAATATTATGAACAATTAAATTGAAATCTCATAGCGGGCAATGTGATTTCATGGGAAAAGGGTGTTACCTCTTTCCCCTACCGGGAAAACTTGGGTATAAATCCCACCCCTGAAACACACCAGCAGTGTGATCCTGGGCAAGTCACTTAAATCTATCAGGTCTCTAGGCAACTCTGTAAGAATATAAGTTGCAGAGAAGGTACTATTGGTAGAGGAAGTGTATTCACCTGGGTGTACCTTACACTAAAGAAATCTCAGGTTCAGCCCCTATCCCTGTCCTTCTGACTCTATTATATACCAGCATTACTCAAAGTATGATCCAGTGACCCCCCTCCCAGGCCCTTCTTTTCATAGATAATATTAGTAATACTAAGACTTATTAATTTTTAATGCAGTAAATATAATCCACAAACACAAAGGCTCATGGGAAGGGTTGCTCGATTATTTTTGAGAATGTAAAGGGGCCCTGGGACCAAAAAGTTTGATAATCATGGTTTTACATCAATGTAGCAACAGGTCTGGACCAAAAAACAAAAAATCGAAAGCTTATTAGTGTCCATATTTGAATCTTCAGCAGTAGCACGTTGGGAATTTAAGAGTATACACAGATATTTTAAGAACATTGCATATTTTGTATGTGATATTTGTATATATTATTTATATAATGACCATTAAAATTGTTGAGTCAGTAATCAATCAATAAATTATTTATTAAGTGACTTCTGTGTGCCAGTTGGGGAAGAGGCTTTGTATAGCTCAATGAAACTATGAGCTATGCCATACCAGGTTATCCAGGATGGACAGGTCATAGTGAAGAATGCTGACAAAAGGTGAATCCACTGAAGAGGTAATGGCAAACCACGCCAGTATCTTTGTCAAGAAAACCCCACGAGCAAGAAGCTGGTGTATTATGGTCCACAGGGTCACAAAGAGTCAGATACAACCAAACAACAAATGTTCCAGTCACTGTATCAAGCCCTGGGGATACAAAAAGAAGCAAAAGACAGTCCCTGACCTCAAGGAACTTACAATCTATTTGAGGAGACAACACACAAAGGAAAGTATATACAAAGTAAACTACATACATGATGAATAGGAAACAATGAAGAGAAAGAAGGCATTGGAATGAAGAGAGGTTGGGAAAGGCTTCCTGTAGAAGGTGGGTTTTTAGTTGGGACTTAAAGGAAGCCAGGGAGGTCAATAGTCAGAGCAGAGTACTCAGTTTTAGCAGTTACAGGGCTATGAAAGAGACATGATGAAAACATTTTCATTCCATTTATTTATTAGACCAGGGTAGGGATGAAGAATTTACATAGCATAGCACACATTTAACAAAATGATAATGTATGTTTTTTTCAGACCCTACTTGAGATCCTCCTCACCTGGACTATTACAGTGATCTCCTAACTTGATCCCTTCTTCCAGGCCCTTCCCTCTCCAACCCATCCTCAACAGAGTGCCAAATTGATTTTCTATTTTTTCTGTTAAAATTATGTTATATATTTTGGTTTTTTCCTATAATCTTTATTTCTCAATAGATCCCTTCCCCTCTCTCCCCACCTGGAGAGGCATCTCTTAAAACAAGAATAACAAAGAAAGAAAATAAAAAGTCAGTTCAACAAAATTAACCAACACATAAGTCAAAACCAAAAATTATTTCAATGTTCCATAGCCATAGTTTCTCATCTTGGTGAAGAAAGAAAGAGGGAGGTACATTCTCATACCTCCTCTACAGGGACAAACTTGGTCATTATAATTCTATGATGTTTGGGTTTGATTTGTTTTTCTTTCCTTTTATATTTTTGTAGTCATTGTGTGCATTGTCTTGATTGGTTCTGTATATTTCATGATGTGTCAGTACATAGGATCATATAATCAGAGCTGGAAACTTAGAGGCCACTGAATCCAACACCCTTATTTTACAGATAAGCAAACTGTGGCGCAGAAAGGTTAAGAGCCCTGTCCAGGTTTATATGGCAATAAATAAGTGTCAGAGGTGGGATTTGAACCCAGGCCTTCCTGACTCCAAGTCCAGGTTCTATCCATGTGATACCATGTTGCCTCTGATACATTCATATAATTTTTTCCATGCATCCCAATATTCTTCACATTCATAGTTTCTTAGGGTATAGTAATCTTCTGTCATATTCATGCACTACAATCTGTTTTGAAGTTCCCCAATCTTTGGGCATCTACTTTATTTCCAGGTTTTTTGCCACTATGAAACGGGCAGCTGTAAATATTTTCATCTATTAAATTCATATTCTTACAGCACATAGTTCTGACCACGTAACTACCTTGCTTTTGAAGCTTCACTGCTACTACTGACTTTAGGATAGAATACATACTCCCTTGACATTCAAAAGCCTTCACAATCTAACTAGAATTTCTATTCTAGAGTGATTTCACATCTTTCCCCCAACCAAACTGGCCTGCTTGCCGTTTCTCATCCGTGACATTCTCTTCTCCATCTCCACAACCTTGCACAGGCTCTCCTGCCCTTCCTCCATCCACCATGTTTGGAATGATCTCCCTTGCCACCTTTTTGAATTCCTAGCTTAAATCAGGTCTTAAATGCCTCCTTCTGCTACATAAGGCCTTATTTGGCAACACCCCCAACCCCAAGTTATTAGTGATCTTCCTGCTTCCCACTCCCACACAATTACTTGTAATTTGCTTTGTAAATATGTTGTACTTATCTGCATATATATTGTTTCTCTATGGTTAAAGGTAAGAGTCTCCAAGGCAGCCTGATGGCTCAGTGGATAGAGTGCTAAGCATACAGTCAGAAAGACCTGAGTTCAAATCTAGCTTCAGACACTAGCTGTTTGACTTTGGACAAGTGCCTTAACCTCTGTTGGCCTAGGAGGCAGTTAGATTTCTCAATGGCTAGAGCTCTGGGTCTACAGTCAGGAAGACTTGAATTCAAAGCCAGCCTTAGACATTTACTAGCTGTATGACCTTGGGCAAGTCATTTAACCTTTGTTTACCTTAATCCCCTAGAAAAGGAAATGGCAAACCATTACTGTATCTTTGCCAAGAAAACCTCGCGGACAAGCATTGGGGTGCTATGGTCCATATGGTCACAAAGAATTGACATGCCTGAACAACAACAACAAACATCCTCAAAGGCTGTTCTTTAGTCTTTTTGTATACCAAGAGCCTAACACATAGTAGGTAATTAAAAGTGACCATAAAATTGAATTGATTTGAATTTCTTATAAAAAATTTTCTTATTCACCTGAGGAAGACATATGTTTTCATCTTATTTTCTAAAAGTGGTAAAGGATTTGTAATGTGATGATCTATTCCCACTATCTTTGCCAATCCCTACTTGTGACCAATGGAATACATTTATGAGGTACACTCTTCTGGCTATAGGAGAACAGAAAGCTAACTGACCCCCCCCCCCAACATATCATACTGGCAACCTTGAGCTCTTTGACAAGATGCTTTAATCAGCTGATCAAAGAAATAACAAGAGATTGAGTTTGTCTTCATTTTGTTTGTCTTCTAAATTAACTAGACTAAATCAAATAATATTTAACTCCCAGTTCTGTGTTCCTGTGCTAAAAATTATATATTGATCTTGCTGTGCTGAAAATGATATATTGATCCTATAAGCTGGGGCAAACCTTTATTACTTATTTCCAAACTATTTAAGCATTTGATACCATTCTGATGCTATTGAAAAATAATATGCCTTTAGTTTAAGGTGTTTTTTTTTCTTTCAGCCATAACCATGAGTTCTAGGTCAAAACACTTAATTACCTAACGCCTTCATTTCACAAGCCAAAAAAAAAATTCTCCACCTTTCCTGAGATATCCTTTCCAAAAGGACTGATACTTCACCATTTATCCAGGCAATGCTGATGCAGATTGTTTTATAATTATTCCCAATTTGATGATCCCCTTTTTCAGAAAAAGTGAATATGTCATCCTTCCCTCCTAGTCTCTTCAGTGGTAATTCACAGCCCCCAAATTATCTTTATCTTGTCCTTCATTTTTGTTTGCAGGTGTGTTTATAATAACTGCTAGGTGCTGCTGTTCCTGGAGTCTGAAAGATATGAATTCAAATGTGACCTCAGATACTTCTGACTATGTGACCCTGTGCAAGTCACTTAACCTCAGTCAGCCTCAGTTTCCTCATTTGTGAAAAGGATAATAGTACTTAGAGTTGTCATGAGGATCAAGTGAGGAAATACTTGTAAAGTACTAAGCAAAATGCTTGGCACATAGTAGGTGCTTAATAAGTGCTTATTCCTTTCCCCTCCATTGTCCTTTTGATACACCATTTCTATGATTTGTTTGTTTTTACTATCCAAGGCTTCTCATAGCCATTTATAGCCATTTTTTATAGGATGAAACCAGAACTTAGTGGTCAAATTGCAGGGTTATGTGAAATCTTCTAACCCAAAGCAAAATTAGCTCAAACTCATTAAAAACGACAGCAATTCAAATATCACTCTCGCTGTTCCACATTTATGATGTATGTGAATGTTCATGGATGTGTGGGAACCATTCAACTTTTTAATGAAAGTTTCAATGGAAGGTTTAATGGAAAAAGAAGACATGAACTCATTTTTATTTCTATTTAGTCTGTAGGATCTCTGTGGTGGTAGACTCAAAATAGATTTCAAACACAGCCATGTCTCTTATGGATTCGATCACTTGTTCCTTAATAATGTAGAAACCAATGACTTACCTCACCTCATTTTTTCTGTCTCTCATTCCTTCCTCCAGTAACTCCAAAGAGACTCCATCCACCCCTAGTCTAAAGTATGTATTTGCTAATTAATTAAGAGACAAAGTTCTTAAGAGACAAAATCAAGGAATTAGGAATTTAGGTAATAGGTTCTTGAAGCAAAGGGTGGGAAGTACATTATAATAATTTTTATGTGATGTTAATAATGATTAACCTTTATTTTCATGATGATCAATCCAATCCAAAGAATGAATGGTGGTGCCACTGGGTGTTTTTAAAGGAAAGGTATTTTGATGATTTGTGCAACAGTTATTGTAATGTCACCACAGGGGGAAAAAGTATTGTTAAAAGTTCGGGATACCTTTTCTCAGATTGAAGCCATATAAAAGTAATTTTAAATGCTGATCATTACTTCTTTAATAAAACATTTGGCAATAATACCACAGATATTTGGCCGTGTCACTCTAAACTAACCTCCATTGTACTTGATTCATTAATATTCCTGCATGCCTCAGCTTTTGCTTCCTTTGTATTTAACTTCTGAATTCCTCCTTTTAGGGCTTTATCAGTGTAAATGAAATTAATGAGCTAGGTGGCAATTCCACGAATCTATCCCCTTCTACTCAGCTTTCCACTGACGCTGATGCTGATGCTGATCCCACTGAGCCTTCCACAGCTGTGCTGCTGAGCCAGCCACAAAATCAAGAGGTTTGTTGGAGTGACATTTCATTCATTCACTGCATTTCCTCATGTCATAAATTAACCCAGAATTAACTGCAAATGAGAGGGTGTGTAGCAAATGTATCTGTTTGGGGAAAGGTCAGTCACATTGTGTTGGCGAGACATATTCATTCTTGGGGTTGTAAATAACAGCAGCAGCAATAATAATAATTAACATTTTTGTTGCACTATAAAGTTTACAATGCACTTTACATAGAATGTCTCTTCCGCTTGTGAAATGTGATTTTATATGAGGGAAGTCAAACCGAAAGTTAGTTGGGAAGTTAAAACCTACGAATAAACTTTGTGCCTTACATTGACCAAACCCAACCCACATTTCATTAGAAATTTGAAGGAGCTGATTAGAGAACAGGCACAAAGTATTATATAGAATGATGATTTGCATGCAATGATTATTTTCCTTGATGTTTGATTTGATATGTGTGTGTTCTCATGAATTTTAAGGCATTCTTCGGGAGGGTAGAATGATGACAACAGTATAAGGAAAATTGGAGCCAGTGTTCTGCTGATTTATGTTAAATATTTACTGTTTAGAATTTTGGTGATTAAAAAAAGAAACCCCTCTTTTTTGTGGGTTCTTTTGAAAAGTGCAACAAAATATATTATTAAATCAGAAATCTGATTTGTTTGTGAAATTTGCCTTTTAATTACATGTAGATGCATCCGTGTACTTTCTCTTCCTCTTACAAAGCTACAATCACCTGTCTGTTCTGGATCTCTATCTCCTCACTCACTTTCTCTTCATCCTGTTGCTCAACTTCCATCAGTCCACTGGCCTGAAGTCTTGGCTGCCCCGCCTGTCGACCCTTTTTCTTTAAATGATACACCTCCTCCTCTTCCAGCTAAAAAGCACCGAAGGCACCAGCAGGTAACAAAGGATGTAGTACTGATAGTTTGGGTGGCCTTTGCCTTGACAGTCAAGTCATTCCTGCTTGGTGAGCCCATAGATGTCTGGGTTAGGGCAAAGGAAACAGTATCTGGTCTTTTTCTGAGCGTATTGCCACTATCAGGTATTATTGGGCAAGTCCTCACATATCCCCAAGCTTTGAGTATGCCACCATAGCACATAGTTGAGAGGCTTCAAGAGATAATGGTGGTTAAAATCTTACACATTGTCAACAGTGTTATATCACAGAATTCGAGAGTTGGAAGGGCCTCCAGAGGCCATCTATTCCAATCCAGACAGGGAAGGAATCCTCACAGTAACATGCCCAGCATAGTTAACCTCTCTGCTTAGAGAGCTCCCACATAGGAGAGAATCCATAATGCCTATTAATTTTTATTCCTTAATCCATAGTGACTCAGTTTTCTGTTACTTGATTTTTGACCTATTACAAGTGAAGGCCTTTTTTTTAAACAATACTTTATTTTTCCGTGTCCTCCTCATGCCCTCTACTATTTAAATATTCAGTGCCTGGGTTTTGAGCATATATTTTTCAATCTTGTTTAAACCATACATATATATGAATTCTAAGTAATATTCAGTGTATTCAGGAATAAAAAAAAAGCAAGAAAATGAAATACATTCATTTGAATTCAAATTGAGATAGTGAAAGCTCACAATGTCCTCGGTAGGTGCTAAAAATAATCCTAAACATGGACCCCTTAAGCAGTCTGGTAAAAACTATGGACCCTTTCTCAGAATATTTTAAATGCACAAAGCAATGTATATACCAATACAAAGGAAACTGATTATGTTGAAAAAGTTATCAAAGTATTTTTTTTAAAAAAAGTTCAGAAATCCCCTAATAAAGAACACCTACAAATGAGTATTAAAATTTAGATGGCAAACTATCCATTCAACTCCATCCTTCTCATCATGCCTTGCCCTTCTGTCCCTCACCCACCCCCCAAAAAAGACTGCCTTTGCTGCTGCTCTTTAATAGAGAATTGTTACCCCTACTTATTTATAGATTACTGTGGCCTAAACATGGTGGCAAGAAAGGCTGCTGGTTTAAAGATGGGTGCAGGTAACTGGAATTCATAAGGAAATGTTGCTAGGAATGGGAAAAAAATGATTATGTATAACTGTGGTTTTCATCCTTTCTCCCTAGAAACCCAACCCTGGGCAAAAAAAAAAATTATCATCTAGAAGTGAAATGACTTTTCAAATTTAGGTTTTGCTGTTGGGCATTAGTTGAACTGGGGGTGGGGTGGAGAAGAAAGAGGGCAGGCTCTTTTTTTGGGGGGAGGGTACAGATTTTATCTTTCTTTCATGACATGCCATAAAGGAATCATGGTAGCTCTCTGGATTTTAGAATTTTTACTATCTGCTCACAATGGTGGCCAGGAAGTCAAGATTTCTAATATCTTTTTTCCCCAAGAGTTCTAATAATTTTAAACACACACACACACACACACACACACACACACACACACACACACCACACACCCCAAAATAATTTGGCAGTAGGAAATTTGTGTTGTTTGGGCCAAACCAAACCACTATGTATTTTTTTCCCAAATAGTGATAGGAATAGGGCCTGGAGCTGTGGTTTCAGGAAGTATCAGGGAAGGAAACTTCCTTTACTAATGTCAAGGAAGTCCCAGGTGGAGAAATTTATATCACCAGTGCTGATCACCATCTCATCTTTATAACTCAACATCGTAGAGTGCTAAGAGGTCTGATTATTGGGCCAGAATATGTGAGAGGCCAGGTCCTCCTGACTCTTAAGGCCAGCATTGTCTATGCACTCTGGTGCAATGCCACCTCTAAATAGCAATGACCATTAATAAATAAACAGCTGACTCATACTGTATTAGTGCTCCCCTCTGAAACCCTTGAGGCAGTGCATAGAGCACTGGGCTTGGAGTCAGGAAGACTCAGCTTCCTGAGTTCAAATCTGGCCTCAGACACGTATTAGCTGTGTGACCCTGGGCAAGTCACTTAACCCTGTTTGCCTCAGTTTCCTCATCTGTAAAATAAGCTAGAAAAGGAAATAGAAAACTAATCTAGTATCTTTGCCAAGAAAACCCCAAATGTGCTCATGAAGAGTTAGACACAACTAAACAAACTAAACACTAGATATTAATGTAAAGCTATGGGCCTTATTATCATAATAAGAATATTTTTAATATTATATCCATAAAATTACCCTCAAGTGTTTACTAATAATATACTAGGCCCACAGTAAAGTTGCTGAGCTCTTCTGCCACCCTTTTTAACAGATTGCTTATTTATAATATTGTTTATATGGAAGTAACTGCCTCCCTTTAATGGTTTCATTTAACATAGTGTTTTCATTAAGGCTGTGGGAGATATGTTAAAACATGGCTGTGCAGTTAACAAAATACTTTTCCCACAAGAGCTCTATGAGATTGATAGTTCTTGTGGCTGGATCCCCATTTATTGGTGAGGATAGTGGCCCTCACAGAGTGGTAGGGACATGCCTAACATCACACCACTAGTTAGCAGCAAAGGCAAGATTAAAATTGAGGTCTACTTACTGATCCCACTGATCTTTCTATTACAATATGCATCCTTTGAGAATGGGGGGAAGGGGGAAGCAAGGTTCAGGGCTGTGGATTCTAACATTTTTGTTCATATGTTTTTAATTTGTTTGGAAAGTCCGTTGTTAGTGTGATGTTTGCCAACACTGGGCAACAAGGCTACCCCAGTAAGTAAACCTCTCTACTGTCCATGATGTCCATGATTGTCAAGAAAAAATTTGGGTGTATTTCAGGATGTTAAAACTTATTCTCTTCAGGAAGAAATAAAATGTTCTGCAGGAGGATTTAAGTAGTAGGAAAATTGCTGTTTTGTACCCCTTGGCAAAAAGCATTTAATACGAGTGTGATACCCTAGAGAATACTGAATATGAGAACAAGATGTGGATTTTAGGCTTATATTTTAAAATGATTAGACTGTAGTTAGAGTTTCAAACAATGTCCCTGCTTACTTGTTCTTTCTCTCCATTTTCTACCTTACTCTCTTTTTTCCTCTGTTCTTATTTCCTCTGTTCCTCTGTTCACTTCTAAGAAGTGTCAGAGACAGGGGAGAAACTATTTATCTCAACCATTGTGATTGGATGCTTCACCATCCACAGGGGGATCATGATAACAATTTATAAGTCTTCCTGAGACACTAACAAAAGTGAAAGCTGAGGAATGATCATTTTTAGTATTTTTATATAGTAAATCTTGTCACTGTGCATGCATCCAGTCTTGGGACCAGGGTTTTACTCAGGTTTGCTTTGAAGGGGCTGTATGACTTTGGACAAGATGGTTTACCTTTCTGCTCCTTAATGTCTTAATAAATCTAAGATGAGTTGGAATAGATGACCTCTCTAAAGATTCTTCCAGCTCCAAAGTTCTAGAATAGTTATCTCTAAGTTTACATGTTACTGAAAGTAAATGTAAAGACTTAATCAAAAACATGAGTTGTGGCAACGTTCCAAACCAGTTAACTTCATTCTGCTCTGTGCTGAATGCAATTTCTTTAAATAGTCTATTGCCCTTATTCAGAATTGCCCTTTTTGCTCTTTGATTTGCATTTAAAGCACTTCAGAAATATGGAAGAGAGAAAGAAACAACACAAAGAAGGCCTCTATCTAAGTGATACCTTGCCTCGGAAAAAAACTACACCTTCAGTATCTCCACATTTCAGCAATGCTACTATGGGAAGAAGCATCACCCCCAAGGTGAGATGTGGAGAAGCGAAACACCTACATACTTAGTATAATTGCTAGGAGGAGCATTCAATGGAAGCACATTTTCAAAACAGCCATGATTCAAAATAAACACACACACACACACACACACACACACGCACACACACATGCACACACACACACTGTAATAAACCACCACACTACTGGTTGGTAAGTGGAGACAATGGGGATGCAACCTAGTACAGAAGAGAAGCATTGACTTGGTATCATAGGATCTAGGCTCAAATCCCAACCTCTGTATACTGTATGACCTTGAGCAGGTCACTTAAACTCTTAGATCTTCAGTGTCTTTATTTGTACAATGTCAGTTAACAAACCAATTATATCAACAAACATTGTAAGTGTTTAATATGTGCTGGACACTGTTCTAAGTCCTGGGGATGCTTCCCTCCACCCCACTCCCCAAAAAAAAGTCCTTGACCTTGAAAAGCACACATTCCGTTGAGAGAGATAACATGCAAACAGCTATGTTCATTCAATGGAAGGGAAGAGAAAGGGAACAATCATTTATTAAGAGCCTACTATATGCCAGGGACTGTGCTAAGCACTTTACAAATATTATCTCATTTGATCATACAGAGTATATATAGTGTACATAGGGGGTAATCTCAGAAAGTACATAAATGTGGGTTGTTGGAGGGAGTGAGAGAAAAAGGAACAAAGAAATGCATCTTGCAGAAAGTTGCATTTGAGATGAGTTTTGAAAGAAACTGGTTTGGAATAGATTACCTCTAAGGTCTCTTAACTCTGAACCTAGGCTCTATATCAAACAGGGTAGATCTTCCCTTCCTCATTTACAGGTACCAGCATTACTGCTCACATTACTTTTCATGCATGGTAAACTCCTGGTCAGCCCCTCTATGGAACTTGGTTCCCTACTTGCATATATTTAGAGGTATAGTAGTAAATTCTACAAGTCTCCATGCAACTTGTCAAGAGACCACTCTGTTTGGTTTCCTGACAGAAACTGGCCTTTATTACCATATAGTTCTGTTGGCCTGAAGGCAAGAGCGTCCTTCTTAAGTGCTATAACACTCTTCTCTTCCTCCTCTCTCCCCTCCCCCCCCAAAAAAAGACTGTTCTAGCTGCCATTTTTCTAAAGTTTTCCTTTGTGGTTTTCTGCAGGGTCATCTGCCCCTAGGACAGAGCAACAGCTGTGGCAGCGTCCTCCCTCACTCCCTGGCAACGATGTCCAAAGATTCAGAATCGAGGAGGATGCACAAAGGTACAGACCTTTGGAAACACAGCCCTGTTCTTGAACATTTGTATTTGCTTTAATATTTAAGGTAATGGAGAGTCAACCCAAGTTCTAGATTTTGGTTGCTGTTCTTTAGTCATTTCAGGCATGTCCAGTTCCTCATGACCCCATTTGGAATTTTCTTGGCAAAGATATTAAAGGGGTTTGCCATTTCCTTCTCCAGCTCATTTTACAGATGAGGAAACTGAGGCAAACAGAGTTAAGTGACTTGCCCAAGGTCACACAGCTGGTAAGTATCTGAGGCTAGATTTGAATTCAGGAAGATGAGTCTTCCTGACTCCAGGCCCTGCTGTCCACTGTACCACCTCGCTCTCCTAGGTGAAATTATTAAGAGTTGGCTGTTAGAAAGAGAAGTTCACTGGCACAAACTGAAATGGAGAATTGTAACCATTAGCTAATATATTCTTGCTATATAGAAAGTGTTTTCTTAAAGAGGAGAGTAAGAAATAGTTTAAAGTGAAAGCTTAGGTTAAAAAATATGAAAGTCTACTAACTTGTACAAGAGCTTTGAAGTTGTGTTATGTTCAATCATGTTTTAATTCTACTGAAGAAAAACCTGTTTCAATGTGTTTTCCCAAGTGTGATATTCAAATCAGAAAGTCCACAGAAAGTGTAATGAGAGTAATTAATTTTTCCAAGATCATACCATGGTTACTAACACATCCTTATGTTTTCCCATACCTTCTGATCCATTATTGTATTTTCATACTAGAATTGAGATACCAGGAGGGAGGGAATTTGGGACTGAAAATAAAATAAAATAGAACAGCAAAATAGAATAAATCATAGAAAAAGATGGAATAGATGTAGATTATGATCGTATAAAGGAATTTCGTCATTCTTGTCATGAAAATGGACCACTTTGGGGCAGCTAGGTGGTGCAGTGGATAGAGCACCGGCCCTGGAGTCAGGAGGACTTGAATTCAAATCCGGCCTTGGACACATGACACTCACTAGCTGTGTGACCCTGGGCAAGTCACTTAACCCCAATTGCCTCACCAAAAAAAAAAAGAAAAGAAAATGGACCATTTTAAAGTGATGACAAGATGAAGGATCTGACTCACAGGTCTGAGCACAGTGCCTAGCACATAGTCAGGGCTTAATGAATGTTGATTAACTGGTCATCTCTGTGTGTATGAGGTATGAGTAGAGGAATAGGTCCTGACAGCTGAGGACATTTGTATCAACCCTGGGTAAGTCTCTCTCATAGTTTCCTCATATGTAAAATGGGGATAATAATACCTATCACACAGGGATGTTGTAAGAACATTAGATGTAATAATTTATGTAAAGTGCTTTAAAACATTAAAATGCTAAATAAATGCTGTTAAAAAAAGAATTAGTATCTCAAATTTTTTTTTAAAATGTCATTAAAAACAGCTAGGTGGCACAGCGGATAGGGTGCTGGCCCTGGAGTCAGGAGTACCTGAGTTCAAATCTATCCTCAGACATTTACTAGCTGTGAGACCATGGGTAAGTCACTTAACCCTGTTTGCCTCAGTTCCTCATCTATAAAATGAGCTGGAGAAGGAAATGCCAAGCCATCCAGTGTCTTTGCCAAGAAAACCCCAAAAGGGGTCATGAAGAGTTGGACACAACTGAAATGACTCAATAACAAATGCACGCTTAAAAAGGCAGTGTGGCTTAATGGTTTGTGAGACCAATGAAATGACTGATTATCCCCTCAAAAAATTTTAAGAGAAAGTGCCTTGAGTGTAACTATTCTTTTATAGGTTAATCCTCCTTAACTTGTTCCATAAAGTGACAAGGGAATTTAGAGTGTGCTCATAGATTGATTTGTGTAACAGTTCTGGGATTTACTTTTGCTCTTCCTTGGCAAGAAATCAGTCTTTAGTGTGGTGGTAGAGCATGTGTCTTCATTTCATAATTATAGAGTTGGTAGAATTATTATTGTTGTTTATTAATTTTTGTGGGTTAGAGTTAGAGTTGTTATGTTTTGTTTTATTTTTGCTAAACACATTGGCAGCCTGCCAAAAAACAAAGGACTCAGCCCTAACGTTGTTAAGAAATGTTGGTTGACTTCATTAAAAATATGAAAGTAAAATATTTTAAAAACTGTACTCAGCTCATGGTCTTAACTTAGTTGTAAGTGTAGCGTGTTACTATCTTTTACCATTGCAACATTAACTACGTTAAAACCAGTAACAATCTACTTCTTTGTTGCCGTTCATGATATCTTAAGGCCAGTGTTGTAAATATGAGTCTTCCTCACGTACGCAGTTGGGGAACTATCCATGACAGAAAACTACAGAGCCCAAAAGAAAATGGTACTGAAACAGCAATCTCAGAATCTGAATATTTTTAGTTTTAAAGGTTGTTTATTCTAATAGAGAGTAATGGAAAACACTCCTATAAGTATCACGATGAATAAGATCTTTGTCCTTTTGTCTTTTTTTTCTTTTTTTTCAAATTCAGGAAAACCCAAAAAAGGTATGACATCCTTCTTGAATGAGATAATGTGTGCTTTTTGTGGTTTAGGCGAATGATTAAAAGGTTGCTGTCAAGTCATCTCCATGTCAAAATATATCCTGATTTTAAATTGTTGTACAATGTTATAGTGGCTTAACATTCCCATGAATCTAAATTTTCATTTGCAAACATAGACAAAATTTACCATATACTCTAGAAACTAAAATATATGTTTGCAGCTGCTGTTCAGTTGTGGGCAGCTGCTGCTAATAGTTAGTCCTTCAAGATCGTGTTTTCATTTGAGGGTCAGATGCTATTGGAAACACTACAGTGGTGGAGGCATTATTTGTTAAACATGAGACCCACACAAGTGAAAAGGTGTAGATCATGATGTGGGCCCACGGCAGTTCATGCTATCACTTCTTTTCAGAACTAGAAAGAGACATCTGGAGATTTAGCCTTTTAATCATTCTTGTCCAGTCATTTCAGTCATGTCCTACTCTTCATGACCCCATTTGGGGTTTTTCTGGCAAAGATACTAGAGTGGTTTGCCATTCCTTCTCCAGCTCATTTTACAGATGAGGAAACTGAGGTAAACAGGGTTAAGTGACTTGCCCAGGGTCACACAGCTATAAGTATCTAAGGCCAGATTTGAACTCAGGAAGATGAGTCTTCTTGACTCCAGGCTTGGTGCTCTATCCATTGTACAGCCTAGCTGCCCTTTTAATCATTCTATTAATGATTAATGAGGAAAAACATAAATTGATGACCAAAAAAAGTATCATCATCATCACTTCTTTAAAAAAATGGATATTGGATGCATTTAGAAACTGTTAAAGAAGAGGAGATAATTACAAAGTGTATAAGAATATTACCTCAATCATAAGAAGAGTTTGGAATTTCTATTTTTAAAGGCATTAATATTTGCTTTGTGAAAGGATTTGACATTGTTTCTTTTGAAGAGAAACATTTGTAAGTGTGGGCTTGTTTTTGATTCTCATTCGATAATGGCTTGAGGAATGTTTGTGTTTGACCTAATAATAATTATACTTTAAAAAAAAAGGTTAGCATGTGCAATGTAATTAATTTTTTTCTTTTTTAAACTTGAATCCTTGTATACTTGTAATCTTTAGTCTAATGGATAAATATGAACTGAGTAATTTATTAACATTTAATGGAAGACTCTTAATATTATTACTAATATTCTCACTGACTTAAACTCTGTATCTTGGCAGTATTCATTGTATGTTTTTCATATCTCATTGTCATCCTTCATGATCCTGGCTACCTGCATCTCCTTCCTTTCTCTCTACAACTTCCTTCATTTGTGACATCTACTGTAACTTCCCCCTTCTTCCTCTGGACTGAGATTAGGAAGAGTGAATTTTTCAGCAGGTGAGCTATGGGGTGTTGATTTGATGAAATACTGGTTAGTTTTGCCTTCTTCATCCATGTAAATACTCTATATCTTCTCTTTTTCTAAATTATCTCTCAATTTTTGTTACAAGTTGATCATGCTATCATATTTCTGATTAATTCTGACTGAATAGTGACACATCTTAGCAGAATTCTACCCATCAAAAGATTTGGCAAGTTGCTACTATATATGAGGAAGCCTGTGTGGTGTAGTGGAAGGAACAATGGCTCAGTAGTCAGAAGAACTGGGTTCAAATCCTACCTCTGACAGTAACTGCCTGTGTGACCTTGGGCAAATTACCTTCTCATACCTGCCTTTGCATCCTCATCTGCAAAATGAGGGTATTGGCCTCTGAGGTCACATCCATCTCTAAATCTCTGATTCTATGACTCCCATACCAAAGAAGGGTATGGGAAAGGAGAGGTACGACCCATTAATACATTGAATCTTTGAGTTAGTCTAATTCTGATGTGGTGAACACAGGAAGACATAATATCAGCCTGTGGAATTTGTAGTGGTACCTTGTGTCTGCTGTACTGAATAAACAGATTTAGCTCTCATCAATTCCATCTCCCTGCTTTGGGTGAGTTCTCCAGTAAACTAGTTATTTGTGTTACTACACAAAGGGTGTGAAGTGCTCCTGAAATCCCTTCTCACCTCCTGTATTTCTTTCCTCCTGTTGAAAATTAATTGTTTCTGCCTATATGAACAGCTAGGTTATCTGAGATACTGGAAGGGTTAGTTGTTTTCCTCTGCTACTCTTTTCCATACCCCTCCCCCCCAATAGCAGTGGATGACCTGTCTTTATTTAATTTGCAGAAGGTGAAGAAGGCTCCTCTACCAATAATACTACTCTATGAGAAGTATTTCACTGACACTCATTAGCATGACTTATTAAAAGAATATCTTTAAAGACCCAGCTTTTCAAAGTTCCATGGCCAGTAAGGAACGAAGAGTTTCATTCTTGTTTTTTTGTTTTGTTTTGTTTTGTCTTGCTTGTTCTTTCTTTCTTTCTTTCTTTCTTTCTTTCTTTCTTTCTTTCTTTCTTTCTTTCTTTCTTTTTTTCCTTCTTTTTTTGGGGGAGAGGGGTTGGTGGCAGTGATAAAAGCAGCTATTTTTT